ACTGTAGTACCTCTGAGTCTGGAGAAGAAGATTTTTGAAATATTGGATAATTTTCCCTTTGGGGCCCCGCCCTGGCCCCAGGGGTTGGGGTAGGAATCCCAATTTTACAATTTTGAAGCCTCATCTACCAAGGATGATTCTGACCAAGTTTGAAAAAAATCCATCCACTGGTTCTTGAGAAGAAGTTGAAAATGTAAAAGTTTACGCACGACGCACGACGGACGACGACGGACGAAAAGCGATTGGAATAGGTCACTTGAGCAAAGCTCAGGTGACCTAATAATGTGCAATCACTGTGAAGTTGAAATGTACCCAGCTGTATCGTATGTTTCAAGCAACAGTGTATAACATCCCAATTTTCATGATGATTGGTTTGGTTTAGTATTGTTTAACGTCCTATCAACAGCTCCGGTCATTTGAGGACGGCCTCCCCTGTGTGCAAGATACATGAGTGTAGTGTGTACGTGTGTGTTTCGGGAGGCTGCGATATGTTCGTGGTTGTCTCATTGTGATAGCGCGGAACTGATGCCGACTTTATAGTAAAGATTCCCCAGCAGGACACCCCACCCGGTCACATTATACTGACAACGTGCGAACAAGTTGTCCTACTCCTAAATTGCTGAGCGTAAAGCAGGAGTACAAACTACCATTTTACAGACTCTGGTATGTCTCGGTCAGGGGACAGAACCCAAAGCCTTCTCCACAGGGGCGAACACTCATCTAATGTCCAAAAGTGAGGTATTGTAAAGGATGACATTAGGAAGAAGAAGCCTTAAGTTTAACAAGTAAGATTGTATTTCACGCTCCTCGTTTACATGAAACTAGAGAACCCACTGAACTTTGATAGCTACACTAAACTTACATCCAGGACGACCGACATGTCATCCATGTAGGTTATCTCCGTGTTTATCATCTCGTGGATGTAGTTCTGTCGTTTACTCTCCTGGGCAGACGTCTCGGCTAGCACTGCCGGATCACTGGACCCTGAAATATATATCGTCTTCATAGAAACTTGAATTAAAATTTTAAAAATCCTGTATTTATTCCTGTCTTATTGATTTAATTGAGCAAATTTGACACCCAGACTAAGTACAATTTAACTCATTCACCCCTGAAGACACATTTGAACTCTTCCAATTCATAGGCTGGAATAGTTCATTATGAAATTTCAGGGGTGAATGAGTTAATAACTTACAGCTACGGTAAGATTCAGTAAAGCGATCTTAGGATTTCCCGATATCATTAAAAACTTGTGATACTGACTCCTTTGTAATATATTTCAAAAGCAAGTTGGCAATGAAATGAAGGTCTTTGTTTATAGAACTTTCACTGTATAATCCAGATATTTATCTAAGATAATAAATTCATCTTTGTCTGCCCTCTTTTCTACTAAATAATGTGACAGATATGTTGTTATTCTGTATATAAAAACATCAACTTCAGATATACCTTTAGTATTTTGAAAATAATTTTGAAAAAAAACAACAAATTACTGTGGAATACAACCATAATATTGTAAACTCGATACATATACAGCAGAGTAAACCTGACCAGATCAGATTCTCGTCTTGGCATCATCTAATTCTTCTTATTCATTGCAGTCCACCCTGTCATATGGTATCCTAACTGCATCTCTGCATACTGTAGTTTTCCACATAATAAGTTGTATCTTTGTTCAACCAAAGTCCATTACATCAGAGCTGACCTTAATCTCATCACTTGTTCTAAATTGTCTAGTATGAGACTGTTTGCTTGTTATTAAAAATATTTTTGGAATCCAATACAAAAAAAATGGATTTTGGGTTTCAAAAGAGATTGGGACTATGCTTGCCTTTTATCTACCTTTTTCGTCATGGCTGTGAAAAGCCTACTTCTTGAGTATTACTTTTTGATCACATCTTAACTCACTTAACCCTTTCACCACTGTAGACCATAATGGACTCATCCATATCAATGCATGGCAGAGTCTACTAAAGTTACATACCCTGAGGTAGGGGTGAAAGGGTTAAAACTAATATTTGCTTACACTGACCTAATGGATCTTGAGCAGACATCAAAATATTTTTTGACAATTACCTTTAAGACTAAAGAAGTTAACCTTTTGTCATTCTGAAGTTTTACAGATTGTTTTCCATCTAGAATGTCTCCTTTATCTAGTGAAGGCGTATTATTGAAGTTTCTCACTAAATGACCAATTTTTTAATTGATCAATATGAAGATGGTGTTTACAAGTAATTTCTACTTTACAATTATTAAGCTTTAAACCAGTGTAAGGACCAGTGGTGTTAATTGATGGATACAAAGCAGGCAATTATATGTACATTCTGTATTATAAGACACTACATTGTATATCTAATTGACTTTTTTTTCAGAGGAGAAATAATCAAAATGTGAATTTTCAAATGTAGGTAATGTGCAGTAATGTTAGTCTTATATCATCCAATTTGAAAACCCTATGGGTAGAATGTTGTTACCTTACACCCCAAGGCAGGACAAATTCTTACAACCCATGATGACATGCTGAAGAGCATCCTCGATACTCCAGGGGTAACACACACTTTCGCTCTCTACACCCCTAGAATATGTCATAGCAAAAACGAAGGCTCGGTGTGCACCACCTTGTTGATCAGACAAGAAGTTTGATCCTTTGATGTACATCAAAATAATCTCGTGGTCACGTAACGGTAAAAATTGACAGGCTTTGAAGTCGGGCAACTCTCTTTTGTAATCTTCAAAGGACAGGTATCAGCCTAGCCATTCGTCAGTTTTTTTAACCTGAGACCAATCAAACAGCCTTCAATTTTGCTATGACATACCGGTAGTCCAGGGGTGCAGAGAGCGAAAGTGAGCGTAACCCCTGGATATCAGGGATAGCTGAAGAGTATTCCTGCATGTATATATGTTGTATTTAAAAGTTCTGATGGTAAATGTTGGATTCGTTCCGTTTTCAAGATGATAACTAGTGACAAAGACTCGGAGAACACACCACTGAATTATTTTGTTTATTACATGGTTTACAGCTAACACCAATGTTTTAAGTAACCACTGACAATCTGACCTCCTAAAGGTCGCCGACATCAACATCAGTACTTGTACAACACAGTACTGATCAGGTGGAGGGTAGAAAGTGCAAGGCTGGGCTCTAACAAAATCTGCTAATCTCACACAAAATGAAGACAATTCTATGATCATTATTTCAATATTTTTCGTAAAATTGAAAATTTTCATGCAAACAATTTATTTACTCAGCTCATCATTTGCAAATAAAATATAACACATTTTAGATGCAAACAACAATAAATGTCAGAGATCTAAAAAAATCTTATTTCGGATGAAAACATTCCTAGTTTTATCAATTTTATTAAGAATTTTCTGCACAAAATGTCAATCCAGCCAGATTTTGATTCATTTATTCCAATATACTACAAACTAATACTTCACATCCACAATAATTCTGTTTCTAAGCAACTGAGTATTGTCATATACATGTAACAATATTGAATTCATCTCTTCACCTGACAAAAAAAGAATCCTACTACGTGGTTTGGGCCCTACTGCTGTGGTTTTCAGTAGTTCATGGGCAAAGGCAGACTTAATGCAAAATTTCTACAACAAAATTGGCACAAAATCCTTTACAAACATTGAAGGTACCTTCAGCGAAAAACCGTAAAATATTATAAATCGAAACAGCAGAATATTTTCCTCAGTGATCACTGCTTCTAACACCAAAACAATCTTTCTCACAGCATACTGTCATTATTGTTTCATAAAGCGCTATCATAAAAAGGTAATGACACAGATATATTCAAAATGTATTCATTGGTAATGTGTTATTTTTTTAAAAGTACATAATGCTTGTTACAATACCATGAGCGTTTGGCAGGTCTGTAGACCGGGGTAAAGGTTTGAGAGATAAGGATTCAAATGTTGAAATGATGTACAGTATTGATTACATGAAACTGAATGAGATTTTTTTTTACAATATTTAGTACAAATTTTTACAAACACTCCATATTTCAAAAGATGTGTTCTGGCTATGATGTTAAAATGTGCCTGTGATATTCAGTAAAGTACAGTGTACTACAATGTGTTAAATAACATACAATGAACATAGAAAACATTTAACAGTTTTCATTCATATTGCACGAAGCTTCAGAGATGTTGATAACATGCTATGATAAGACAGTTGATATTTTTTCTATGTTGAGAAAACTGCTCACTGTTACTAAACAAATTATAAAGTTCCTCAAAACTTGAAAGAACCTTTAATCAGGTCATGATGTGATCTATCTATATGTCAGGTAATATTATGGATATTGAAGACAAGTTTCAATAATACCAACTGAAGGTAACTGGCCACAACAAAAAATGATACTGTTTCTAGTCTAATGAAAGTTTTATGTAATACAGGTACATTGTATTAATCCTTATGGAGGTTATTAGCCTATTATGAACCTGTGGGAGATAACACACATATTTCCCCCGGGAGAAAAGTACTCTCATCAGTGAGATAATGGAGGTTCAATTAAAGATTGTTTTTTCATTATGATATTTATACTTTAATATACAATCTTTTCCCGAATAATTGATTTTGCAAAGTTTACTAAAACAAGTTGTTGGTAAATATTGGAATTGAAAAAGGACTATTACAACAGGTATAAATACATTGTTTAGATTTATTGAAATTCATTTTTGCTAGCTAATTCGAACCTAATATGAATTATAAAGCTTACATATATAAATATACCAGGTTTCAAGAAATGTAAGCATTGAATATTAAGATTTTTTATTTTTGTATACTTACTGATGATATTTGACTGTCATATTTATCTCAATAAAATCCAAGATCAATATACAGTCGTAGCCAAAACATTAAAGTGGGAATCGGCCAATCACAATAAGGGTAACATACCAGTCACACAATAATAAATTACATTGTTATTTTGTTATGTGAGTGTACATGTTTTCTCACTTTATCATTATATGCAGATTATATAATATATTGGATATATTAGTATCTTTTCTCAATGAAGACGTTACCTAGCTAATTATGGTATCTTATTCAATGCAGAACACGTGCACTATCATATTCAATGTAGGGTGCTATTTTATTCAATGTAGGATGCTATTTTATTCAATGTAGCTAGGGTGCTATTTTATTCAATGTAGGGTGCTATTTTATTCAATGTAAAGAGTTAGGGTAGGGTGTCCCATAACTTTTCTATTTTTGTCCTCTTTATATTCATATGACGACAATTATATTTAGGGCCTCTTAATGAAGTCAGAACATTAAAAATCGTCATTAGCTAAGCAGAAAAGTATGAACATTGGCATTATTATAATCAACAGGTTCAGAGTTAAAAACCTGGAAGAAAAGCCAAAATGTTTTCTGTGAAAAACTTAGTTATAATAAACATTTTTCTTTAGTGTTTACTGGAAAATCATAAATTTTCGTGGGATATTGAATTTCGTTTATTTTGTGGATAACAAAAATCCACGAAATTAAATCCCCACGAAAACATAAATTTAGTATGATATAGATAGGGGAAAATCAGAAATCAGCGAAATATAATGTCCTTGAAACAGGCTAGTATATGAAACCCAACAAAAATAAATGATTCTACAGAAACTCTTTGCTATAATAAACTCGCAAGCAACTCCCAGTAAGAAAAATGTTGAAACAATTGGAACTCTTTGTTGTTGGAGATACATCACAAAACCTGAGGAATCTCTACATTACCACATTAAATTTGGAAAGCTATCTCATTCAATGTAGATGTTATTGAATTCAAGGTATGTCATTTATTTTTGTCCATTTAGATTACATGTGTGTTATAGCAAAATATCATATTGTGTGTCAATCTCTGAAGATTTTATAAGAGGGAAATTCTGAACATGAAATTATTTGAATGGTGAGCTTATGTCCTGAATACCAATCTGCCAAATACAAGAAGTTTCAATATTTTTGTACATAGACTATAAAG